ACAGGCTTTGATAATGAAGGCATGAAGTGTCCCTCAGAAGATCACACGTATCCTGATGGGGTCACCCTACGACCAGCCAGATGGCGTATCTGAGATGGATTCAGCTTGGCAAAGGAACGGTTCTGCTGGCGTTCAGGAGGAGGAAGGTGGCCTGAACAGGATGAAAGATCTGAGCGGGGTGGATTTGGTTTGAGCCAGACAAAAATGGCGATGAATATTGGTATTGGTTCGATTTATTGAACAAGGCAGGAAGTGAGATGGCTGAAGGAAATAAGAACAATGGCGATGAATATTGGTATTGGTTCGATTTATTGAACAAGGCAGGAAGTGAGATGGCTGAAGGAAATAAGAACAATGGCGATGAATATTGGTATTGGTTCGATTTATTGAACAAGGCAGGAAGTGAGATGGCTGAAGGAAATAAGGACCGGTTTATAGGTTTGAGATTTGAAAGATGACGACTAGCTCTTTGGGAAGAAAAAGACACCTGAAATCCAGCTCTTTGTAGTGAGGGACGGGATAAACTGTTTGCCTGATATCTCTAGTAATTCCTAATAGACTTTTTGCTGAACCAGGACTGAAAAGATGACCATTTTTGGATAGTACATAGGTAAAAGTTAGGCTATGGGAAGATTTTTTAAAATTTCTAATTTCTAATTCTAATTCTACTTTCTCCCAAAACTTGGTAAGTATAGGACATTGTAAAAACATATGCTTTTAAGAGGCATTGTCCTTATTACATCTCCAACAAAATACATGGCATGGATGTATGGCATATTTAGGTGCACCCGTAATGACGTATACTGTACTACTGCATTCTGGACCAGCTTTAGCCTCTGAGTGACCTTCAAGGGCAGCCCCATGTACAGCACATTGCAACAGTCCAAAGAAGATGTAACAGTCCAAGCAAGAGGTATGAGCAATGAGTAGCACCACCCTCCTCCAGAAACAACTGCAATTGCCACACGAGATGAACTTGCGCAAGGGCCCTCCTAGCCTGTCACATGCTTTTTATTTTTCAAATAACTGTACTGATTACAATTGGAAAAGTAAAAACTAATACAAACTACAAAAAATATGAAATATATATAGAGAAAGAGCAGGAAAAAAAGAAGTAAAAAGAAAAATTGAAAAGAATAAAGAAGTAACTTTCCCCTTCATCACAACTACAAACAATTTTAGTAAATTATCACCATCTTTTAACATACAACGAATGCACTCTTCTCATAACTCATCTCTTAACTATTAACAAAATCTTAAAGCCTCATCATTCATTCCTAGTCAGCAAAAGTCCATTAAGAACTACCAGAAAAAAACTACATAACTATTTTAACCTTGATCAAATAAGCCGACTCCATATTACTTCCCCTCACTTTTAACAATCTAAGGTTTTAATGCCTTAAAATAATGTCCTCGAACTTGATTTCTTTTGATCTTCTCTTTGTCTCCTCTCAGCGAATCCTTCAAAGCTTTAACAGATCTCTTTTGTAAATCCAGTACCAAAAAAAAAAAAAATGAACAACTCTTCTCAATTAATGCTTGTATGTCCTTTTCAAATATCAAGACATAGATCAGTTTCATTTGTATATCCACTATATCACCTTTTTGCATATCAACCTTATAGCTTGTCATATTTAAATCCACATTCAAATCAATTTCAATTTTATCTGGTATAACTTGTTCTTCTTCTGTATCAGTGTTTGACCACCATCCATCTATGATGTTAGATATTCTTCAAATTGATTTCTCAGTCCATTAGTCCCAAATCTCCATAAAAGCACCCACCATCAAAATATTTTCTTCCATTTTATACTCACATGTCTAATCTGAGTGTTCTTCTCCTTTAAGTAATCTTTAGTTTCCTCTGGTTCCCTCTATGTCCAACATTCAAAGTCTCTTCTTATCATACTATCTTTCCAGCAAACCAAAACAATCAGAATTTCCCACAGGAAGGCTTATTATATTTAATTCAAATTCTCATTTCAGAACCATCTGGACCCTTAGTCTATTTGTAACTTTCTAAAATCATCACTTTAAACCTCCTTTTGCTGTTTATTAAAAAAAACTATTTTTCTAAATCCTTATGCTAATCCAAATGCTAAACTTCTTTTGCAAAGAAAGAAACTCACCCAGTGAATGCAATAAAGAGTTGCCGTTCCGAAGGTTCTTAATGTTTCAAAAAGAGTAAAAAAAATATCCAAACATGATTAAGAGATGAGACTCAGTTGAGCTTTTTGTCCATAAAACAGGCTGCGTTACGACTATGAGCTACGATGGAATCCCTGACTCCTAGCCACTCAACTCAGAAGCTGATCGCAAAAACTTCTGTTCCTGCGATCTACTTACAAGGAGCGGCTATACGGAGTACACATGGGTTATCTCACGCTCTCTCCTTGCTCTGGAGAAACTTTGCTGGTTCGGATCCTTCATCCAGTCACATTTGCTATAGACACTGTCACGTTCAAAAAACGACCTCTAACTTGCCATGAAGTCAGCCATCACATGCTCTTCAAGACGGAGTCAAAAGTCTAGGAGGACCCCCAAATTCTACAACGAGCCTAAGAGAGTATTTGGCTTTCAAAGAGCCATATATAACTTTCATGTATTAAACCTATATTGAATAAATCTATTATCAGTTTTAAGGATGGCAGCATATTTTCTAAAAATGCAGGTAATCCCTGACTTACGACCATCCATGCGGCGATCATTCAAAATTATGACAGCACAGAATGAAGGGATTTACGACCCATCCTGAAGTTATGGCCACTGCAGTGCCCCCACAGTCACATGATCAAAATTTTGCACTTCGCAGCCCGCCCACAATTACGACTGCAGGGATGCTTCAACTCCACCCCACCTGCCTATCTCCCCCCAGCTATGCCCTTTTGGCCCCTGATGGCTGCGCTCCACAACCCCAGCTGACCTCCATGTTCTTGCTCCCACTGCTAACGAGGCATGGTGAGGGTGAGTACAGCTGGGTGGGAGCAGCTATGGCTCCCTAGGGTGTGGCAAGCAGCCTCAGAGCTGTGCAGTTCTGGGGCTGCTTGCCGCCCCCCAAGGCAGGGGGGAGGGGC